TTATGTTATGTTATTATTATATAGTCCGGCCCATACAAATATATTCAAACCATCCAGGGGCAGCAAGAGCACACCTTGCTGCCCCTGTCCGTACGCCTATGTTTATTTCTATGATTGGTAGAAGATGTTTAAGGATCAGTTTTTYGAAAATTTTTGAGAAATAGGGCAATAAGTCGATTGGTCCGAACGATTGGGGAATTTCTGTGGGTTTGCCTGACTTATGGATTATTATCATGGAATATTTCTAGAGTACAGAAAAGTAGGTGAGCCTTATCATAGAATTGTATATAAAAGTGAGGAACATTTTTTTTTKKGGGGATATGAACTGCAATTTGATTAAATCATAACCGGGAGATTTATGTTTTTAAGATTAATTAATTAGATATGCAATTTCATGAGGAGATAATATATGCTTGAGTTGCATTGTCATAGGCAAAGGAAATTCAAGATATATGTTTATTTRTCAACTTTGGTGGGGCTGAGTAATGAGTAGTGTGGTTTAAAAGTTGATGAGAGGTGTTCACAGAAGCATAATTAYTAATTATTTCTTTTACATTTTTGTAAATGGTTAAAAATAATAATAAGTATAGTTTTTTCTTAGCACAGCTTGATAGATTTATATACCTAGGTTTGTTTTATATTCTGAATTCATTTTTTTAGATATACTCATATATAAAGTCCATTTAAAAAAAAATTGATTGAGATTTTAAATGCATCTTTTCAGGTTATTTACTACGTTAAACTCACAGTCATAATTATAATAACTAATCTAAATTAAATTATCTATTTTTGCTGCCTGGTGCTTGCGTACTATGGTGCATATGCCTTCATGYCTTCTTGTATTTTTACAATATTGTCAAAATTACTAACTAAATATGTAWATAAATCTATGGAAATAATACATGATATTTTAATTCAATATAAATTCTTAAATAAATTTAACAAATTCTAATATTTTAAGTAGGGTATGTGCTCATGTTTTACATAGCACGAGCCGCTACAACCATGTTGCATGAAAAATTGATTAAATCAATGGTTCAATAATGGCCCACTAAATCATGTTTAAGCTAGTTTTTAAGGGACCATTATATTGATTTGTTAAATATTTAGTGATKTTCATGCAATCTGGCATTAATGAATGAATAGGTTATTAGGTATCTAATTAGTTTCCAAATACAATTTAACAACAATTATATTTTACATAAGAACCAATCATATAAAGGAAGCATAAAAATATATTAATTTTTACTTTAATTTATTTTCATTCTTATGAGATAAAAATTTCCTTTTTTTAGCAACATATACAAATTGAAAATATTCACAGAACTAAATATTTCAGTCTCAAATGTGCAACTAAAGAAATGAAAATTGTTTTTGTGAAGTTGTACTAATTTTAATTATTAAACCTATTTATGAACCTTCCTAGTACTCAGAAATACCAATAAAAATATTGATCAACTATCAAAAAACTACTTAATCAAGTTGTAACATGATTAGTCTTGAGTGATTGTTTAAGTAAGGATACAGCAAGTAAGAATATAATATAATAGTGTCCTAGTGATGATTGCATTACATAAAATTGTTATGATTAACAATAAGGAAAAAATAACATTATACAAATATGAAGGCACTAGTTAGTATCTATGATGYACACTACTTAGATACTTACTGCGTAATTAAAAGTTTTCAGACATCAGCATTCATTGTTCATTGTTCGAAAATCTAAAGTATCAAAAGCTCAATGGGCAAATGTGTAGTACCACTTGATTATGTGCACGGGTAGTAATTGACACTTGTCTTCGATCGAGCGATTGGTGCATATATACCTATCACTTTTGGTTTTGGGGTTTCTTTCCGCTAGTTGCTTGGGTGGGAAACTGGGAAGCCAGACGACGACAGTTGTGTRAAACACCAGACACGAAACTGTTCGCTAACAGAAATGAGAAAATGATATGTGTGACGCAACCGTGTGCAAGGACAACACACGATATTAATATTATATTATTATTCGAAATGTTATTGTTTTTCGATGATGGTGCGCATACGACTTAAATAACGGACACACAACTTGTAACAAACTTACAACTATAATAATATGATCGATGTCGCCATTAAAAAAACGACAATGCCATAATGGTCTATCGGTAAAAAATTATTAATTTAAAGTTGTTTTTGTCGATGCGTAGCCTGCTGACCGCCGAGTGTTCGCGTTATCTCTGCCGCCGCTGATTATCTGAATTCTGAATTGACTATTCGAGTATGGCACCGTCCAAGCTACGTGATCTGAAGACCATGAAAAATAGACAAAGAAAAACAGGGAAAAAATTGATATCTCGGAGATCGACCACTTGTACCGTCACGTGACGCRCATTTACGTCGACTATTTTGAATTTACTCGCTCCCCAAAAAATCAATTTCGTGCCGACATCCAGCGTTTTATTGCGTGCCTATTGATTTTTTGAGTGTTTTGGGCTCAAAAAAAAAAAAAATCTATAAGGAAAATGAAAAACAGAAGAACTTTGTCGTGGACGATAGGAGTAAGTTGTTGTTGGGCAAATGACGCCATCACAAAGGGCATGACAAAATATTTATAGTAAAAGACTACTGATAACAACTTAATGCTCTAGTGCAGCTGAATACTGATAACGAGTTCATAGACATCAGACATCACATATTCACATCGTGCGGTTGTTTCATTGTTTGGGTTAGAGAACTTATTTGTCGCTTTTCAATTAAAACGCTAGAAATCAATTCACAAACACACTTCTCTAATTGTATTTTTATGTTTACGACATTTGGTTCGAACGCGTAAAACTTATTTGTTTTTTTACCTCGTTAATGGTGCATTTATGTATTTCCTGTGACACTCAATAATGTGCCGACACTCCAGTGACGTTTTATACTTAGGCTGTGGTTAATGTTAGTTGTGTYTCAAGGTACGAACAATCTATGACCATGTTTTCTTGGATTCGCAACAGGAGGCAATTGACCAGACTTGGTTAGTATATTAATAAGTTTTTGTTGCTTTTATATCTGCTAATTATATTCAATTTACACTAACACTGATAATACTAACTAATTGCTGAAAAACTAATTAATGAGTATTAATACTTGCTTAGTTAGCATAACATTTCTTCTTTTATGTTATACACAGGAAATTCAGTAAAAAATTTCCACAATTTTCTAGTATTCACATTTGTAAGATCATTCAATTTTATTTCTTATTTTGAGAAATAGGGCGTTTTCACTTTCACATATTTTAGAAAGCCACTTTACAAATCTCATTGATCAATTTTTCATAATGTTTTAGCTTATTTTTTAAAATGATTCATCTAAATGTAGTAGGTATTATATTTGAATCCAAAACTATTTCAGCTTAATTTGAAATATGTAGGATCAGTTAGTTTTTTGTGTTGGTCGAAGTATTGAATGCTGACTGAAAGACACATTAATTTGTTTAAATAATACTGGCTTTTGCTGATACCACTTACTTATTTTTTTTTATCGTTTATCAGCACTCATTTAATTTTAAGACTTCATTATTCAATTAAAAACATTTTTCTTGTTTACCATCTTTACTTGGTAACAATTGAAACACATTTTACAATGTTTAGCTCTGAGTTTAGCTTAGAATTAAGTCTTTCTAGTTGTCTTTTGTTTTATTAATTTTCCTTAAGAAAAAACTTATAATTAAATTTCATTTTGTAATAAAATAATATCAGACGTAGGTAAATGGCAATAGCGATACTAAATACTTCTATACTACTATTAACTTCAATATAATAGATTTAACTCTAAATCATATTAAGAAGATGTAACACTGTCATTTTTTTTCTTCATTTTATAAGTGCATAACCTAATCTAACCAAATATTCACTTGGAAAATCACAAGTAGCTTCGATTGTTTAAAAATTATAATTAATCAACCAATTATTAAACATAATCGTTAGAACATTACCTATGTTTGTGTGTAGATTTTTTATGATAGTTTAAATTTTAGCAAGTTTTACGTGTATAATATGAGGGCGTACCCAAAAGAAACCAAACTATTTTTGTACAAATTATTTATTTATTTTTTTTACAAAAAAAACATTTAATTACCTTCAAAGTACTCTCCGTTGGAGTTAATGCACTTGTCCAATCTTTTATTCCAATTTTCAAAGCATTTTTTAAACTCATCTTTTGTGATGCCTGCCAACTCCTCTGTTTTTTGCTGGAGTCTTCCATTGGCTCGATTGTTGCTTGGTTTCAGGATCATATCCATAGCACCATGATTCGTCACCTGTAATGACCTTGGAAAAGAAATTTGGGTCATTTTGGAATTCTTCTTTCAAAGAAGAGCATGAATCCACGCGGCTTTGGTTTTGCTGCTCAGTCAGCAGTCGAGGAACAAATTTTGCAGCCACCCGTCTCATCCCCAAACCTTCTCTTAAAATTCTCTGTACTAAACKCCATGTCACACTAGATCTCTCCGCTACTTCTTCAATGGTTGCCGTCGATCTTCCAGGATCATTTTTTACATTTTTGTCGGTTTGCGACGTCGAAGGACGAGCGAGCTTGATATTCTATCGACATTTCACCACTTTTGTAACGGGAAAACCACTCAAATACTTGAGTTATCCTTAAAGCATCACTTTGTAAGCTGTTTTCAACATCTCAAGGGTTTCTGTGCCTATTTTCCCGATCAGGAAACAAAACTTGACTGCCGTGCGCTGTTCACGCTAATCAGCCATTACAAAAATGACGAGTACACAAAATAACTTTGAAAAAAAATCACATCAACGTAACACAGCCTTCTACGATAACGGCCATTGGCATACTCAATGTTGAGAAGTATGTCTATACGCCCTTACTGACAAAAACACGGTACTACTAATACTCTGTCCCGCACAACATCAGTTCGGTTTCTTTTGGGTACGCCCTCGTATAGGATATATTAAAAATGCTCTTAATTCAATTAAAACTAAATTATCGTAAAAACCTATACACAAACACAGATAATGTTCTTACCATCAAGTTCGATAATAGGTCATTTCAATTCAATTTTTAATTTCACAAAGTTAAACCGGATTTTCTGAGCGTAAATTTGCCATGTTATACATTTGTAATACAGAGACAACAAATGTCAATGTTATGTACTCTTAACTGTCTCATATAGGTACCATGTATAATTCACATATACTTATGTTGTTCAATTTTAGTGTTGTTTCATTTCTTATACCAAATTTAAAAGTAAAGAACATATTTTTAGGAATTTTTATCAAACCTATCTAACCTTCTCATGGTGAAATTGTATTAAGAAGACGTGATACCCGCATGTGTTGTCTCTGTCTTACAAGTGCATAACATAACAAATTTTACGCTCAGTAGATCACTTTAGCTCCGTCAGTCTAAAATTTAGAGTTAATATACCTCTTATAAAAGTTCAAGGTTACATTATTATCTAGAACTTCTCCTTGAGCTTCTCACAGGCTTTTTATTATATTTTAGTTTTAAAGCGAGTTGTGTGTATTTTTTAAACTGTAAATTGTTTATATATCTTAAAATAGTCATAACTCGCTTTAAAATTAAAATATAATAAAAAGTCTATGAGAAGCCCTAGATAATAATRGTACCTTTAATTTGTATGAGAGGTAAATTCACAACACATGTGGGTATYACATCCTCTTATTATGATTGGTAATTAATATTGATAATATACCTATTTTTTTTTAAGTACAATTTTTTTTGTAAACATTTTATTAAATTTGATTTATCAATCTGAAAGTCAGTTTAAGAAAAATTCATTATTTTTTTTATTTTTTGAACTACCTACAATATTCGATTGTCCTAAATTATTATTTTTTTAATCATATGATAATCTGCGATTACAAAAAGGTAGAAATCACTACTTCAGAACAGCATAAAAGTTAAATTATTATATCTCCTTTTAAAAAATGTCGTTTACACACTAGTGGTAATTGGTAAGCACTAAGTTTAAACACCACAAGTAATCGCTAAAATGTTCTAGATATGAATTAAATAGTACCTACACGGCTACACATTGMAATTTTTTATTTATAAAAATTTAAATATATTTCTGTTTGTTGACTTAATAGGTAGGTAGGTTGGTATTCTTGTTGTATGCCATATGTAGTCTAAACATGTTACTAAACATTATAATATATTATACTATATGAGGCTTACTACATGTTTTTTTATTTAATTGAAATATCGGTATATTTCTGTTTTATCAGACACCTTTTTTATCAATTTTTTTTTTGTTTTTAACATATTATGCAGTTAAGCATGCTCAAAACAATAATGAAGTCTAGTTTTGAAGTCATAGCTATTTGATGTCAGAGACCTGCCCAAAGTGATTTTACATAACAAATCATGGGACATTTTCAATTGTAGTCCGAACGAATGCAGCTAGTGAGTGATCACCGTTGAGTGTATATGAAAATACTATAAATTTAAATTAGTTATAACTTTAAAACTAAGTCCAACCGTAAAATTTTGACTTCACCATTGTTTTAAGCATACATTAACAAAATAAAAAAAAGGATGTCTAGTAAAACAGAATACATCCTAATTATCAATAAATACATTTATGCAAAAAAAAAAATATACATATTTATTCAATATTATCAAGTAAAATATATAATTTAATAATACATAAATGTAATATTAATTTCACTCAGTTATTTAATTATCTAGTTCTAAATACAGTAATTTATTTTTTTACATTATCGACATTACATACTTATGTATAAAATATTTATTTTGTATTGGTATATTATTTGATTTTTCTTATCAAACATTCAAATTAGTCGTCTATTATTCATCATTTCGCTAAATATGAGTGTCAATTTGAAAAAGTTTATTTTCCTTTATAAACATATAGTAATATTTTTGGAGCAATTTACCCTAACTGAATAATTATATTGACATTTTTTGCCAAMAATTAACATAATTAATAACCTAATGATAATTGCGCTGTAAACCGTTTCTACCAAGAATACCAGTAGGTATTCTCAGAACTGATTTCATTTATATACCTTACCAGAATATTTTCTTGATATAAAATCAACATTAAGTTTTACTGTCATATAATTACTCATCTTGAATGAACTTGAATACTTCAAGCTAATCAGATCAATTTTTCATAATATTTATGCAAAATGTAATTGGTTGAAAAAAAAACCTCATTTATTAATAATACAATC